TATATATATATATATATATATATGAATCTTTATATAATGTGGGCTAGTATATAGTATATAGAATGGGACCACACATCTTGACACTGTTGAATTCCAGAAGCTAAGTTCTATGATGGATTGAGAAGAGCCGACGATGAAAAAGATAAAAATGACTTCTACGAAAGACTGAGTATACCAAATATTGTGGTAAGGTGATCTTAATAAAATTCTAAAAATTAAAAAACAAACTTAAAAATAAATATATCATCTGTTTTTATGGACGATCTTGAATTAATATAGTTTTAGTGCTCAGAGATTTAATTTATTGCCGTTGAACATTTTTACGAGTGCTTTTTTTTTTTAAGTACAGACGTTAGAATACTAAAATTACAAATAACAAATGTTAAGAAAATTATGCAATTTATTAAAAATATTTTCATCTTAATTTTATTTTATGACACTAAAGTTAGCAGCCATCTAAAAATTTTTAATTTTGTTTTTTAATTAAATTACTACAACTAAAAAGATATTTATAAAAAAATGCACTTATAGTTTTTCAAGTTTTTAACATGTGATACTTTTTTTTTTTAATTGTTTAATTGAAAATTTTTCGATAAAAAATTTCTAAAAATTTTGAAATGTCAGCTAACTTCATTTTCATTTTATTTTATATAATTTTGTATCTTTATACTACATGATATAAAATATCATTTGATAAAATACAAAAATCTTAAACCAAGAAAATTATTTTTAAGAATTTCATTTTTTGAATTTAACAGAAAAATTTTTGAATTAAATAAAATTTTTTTTTGACTAAAAAAATTTGTTTAATTCAAGAGAAAAATTCGTGAATCAAGACAATTTTTTCTTGAATTAAATAAAAATTTATTAAAATTAAGAAACATTTTTCAGATCAAGAATTTTTTTCTTGAATTAAATTTTTTTGTTCTTAATAAATCAATTTTTCCAAATTATTAGAACAATTTTTTTTTTTTTAAATAAAATATTTTCCATTAATTTATTTATTTACTTTTAAATTTAAAACGTTCAATAATTAATTTAATTTTCAATTGTAAAAGAATTTAAATTAAAAATTCCCCTCTGATATAATTTAATTTATGATTCACGTCAAATTTTTCTACCGAAACAAATTTTTATAAATGTAATGTAAATAAATAGTTAGTCGCAATTTAAGTATATTTAGTAATGCATCAACGATCAAAGTCTAGCACATATGTATAATGTATATGTATGTATATTGCAGATTGTATTTATCGATCTCAATATACACCAACATTAAACAAATATACAGATATACGATGATGAGGAAGCCCCTAAAATGCATATACGAGTGAACGGTAACGCGACAATTTCTCGGTGCATTAATAATTGTAAGGGGTAAAAGCCGATGATATACATGTATGTAGAATATATAGATAGAGATAAACGTACAGTATACATATTTTATAGGGATTTTTTGCATATAATTTAACGGAACGTTAGAGACAAGATTTAAATACAGCAGCTGGATAAATAACCAAGAGTAGTATTAGTGTATTAGTATGAGAGTGCGATAGTGTGAGCGAAATAGGTTTATAGTGGAGCGCGGGGTGAGAAGAGCGGATCCTGGTCAAAATCTGTGCGGGCTGGACCCCCTTGGGAGAGGAAAAAAGATAGAACTTAGAATCGCGCGTCATGGGGACACACTGGAGACTTCCAAATCAGTGTTTGCACAGCGTGCGATACATGTGTCTGTACACACATGAGCTACACTATATTTTGTGTGAGACACACTATAAACATCATTTGACAATTCACTTTATTTTTATATCTTTATTTTATTCGTATTAAATTTTTATTACAGAAAAAAAAATTAAATTAAAAGAGAAAAATTCTTGAATCAAGAAAATAATTTTGAAAAGTTTCACTGTCTTAAATCAAGATGAAAAATTTTTGAATTAAACCAAGAAAAATTTCTTAGTTTAAGAATTTTTCTACACAAATTAAAAAGATCAAGTTCTTCAAAATTATTTACTTGATTCAATTTTTTTTTTCTATGTACAACTTTGCTTTATTTATTTATTTTTTTATTATTTAAACTGTGATTCTCGGATTAACTTTTCCCGTGTTATAATTATCCCTAAAAAATTTTCTGATAAAACCCGAATTATTCATATACTTGGCTCAGAAACTGAATAAGAAATTAAAAAAAAACAAAAAATTTTTTTCCCTATTCTAAAGAGATTATCTAAAATTATTTTTTAATTTAATTAACTACTAAATCAATTTTTGCTAAATAAATTAAAAAATTATTTTTTTGTTACCATATATAGACAGATATAAAATTTGCCATTTGTGGCAATAAAACTTTAAAGTCGACTTTATTTATTACAGTGTAAAAAATTTTCCGTCATTGGGTTAAAAAATTTTGTTTTAAATATTTAACACAAAATTTTTCACTGTATCTTAAATTTCATGCGAAAAATTTTTTTATGTCATCTAACTTTTAACTTTAAATTCTTGGTATTCACATAATGACTACAAATTACCACTGACAATGACTAATAGCGAAAAATGTTAATAAATGATAATTAATAATAGATAAGTAAGTATAATAAAAGCATAAATTTCACGAAAGTGATCGAATATAATGTAAATCACTGACTATAACATATTTATAAATATTTCATTCTTCCGGAGTTATTGTCGCTTTATTTAATATTATCATTATGATTAAAATATAATACACAATAAATATAGATATACAAACGTATTTCCGGTAATTAGATTAAACTCATAGTAATTTTCCATATTGAGATATTAACAACTGATGCTGATTATAATGATAATAGACCTGCGAATGAGTGTTATATAAATGCAAATTCAATAATTACCATATCAACATTCATTAACTTCCGGATGTACACATAACTCCGGATATAATGCGGAAAAGGAAATATTGCGCGATTGACCCGTTTATCACATTCAGTTTAGTTTGTATATCGATCTTAGAACCGCAATTGGATGTTTTTCAAATTGAAATACATATTTACTCCAGAATTAGTCCATTAAAAAAAAACTGCAGATTTACTCTGCATGTAGTGTTTTATTTTTTCACTCCAGTACTCTAAGTAAAATTCGGTCTAAATATTTTACAGGGTCATAGTCGTGTATGATAGTAATCAAATATACCCTAAAAAATAATTAAAAAATTTTTTTTTCTGACTTACTAATTATTTAGACAATTAAAAAAATTTTTCCGAGGACCAAATCTGTAGTTACATGCAAAGAAAAAAGGATTTTTTCTTATTTTCGTCTGGGAAAAATTTTTATTCCAACATAAGTATTTTTCTTATAAGAAAATTGTAAAAACACTTATAATTTATGGGAATTTCTTTTACGGCTACACAGATAATTTTCCTTTGTAAATATAGGGAAAATTTCGTAGGTAAAAATTACTATGTCAACACAGAAAATTTTCCTTTCCGAAAATGGAAAAAATTTCTTTTTTTTTTCTCCATGTAATATTAATTAATTATTATGACAATATTAAATTAAAAAAAGAAAATAATTAACACGGCTTAGCCTTTGTCAATAAATAAGCTTACCTACGACCGTCATATAGTTATTATTAATATATATAAATAATAGATTAGGTAAATGGAAGAAGTCTTTCCATTGATCAAAATTTTACAACTTAAATAATTTTTAATTAAAATAATTTTTGTTTCCAACAATGAAATTTTTGTCTAAAGAATTAGTCAAATAAATTAAAATAATTTTTATTCAATTCAAGTGAAGCTTGTTTGTTTGCCTGAAATGATGGAAACAAATATTGATCTTTTTTATCAAAAAATTAATATATTAAATTATTTATATTAACAAATTTTTGAGTCAAGGAATATTTTTTCAAATAATAAAAACTTTTTCTTATTTATTTTATAAAACACGATTCGCAAACTCTTACAAAGTTGTATATTTAGCTAGTTTATTATTTATCGTTATTAAATTATTAAATTATTACCGTAATTAAAAGTCACACATAAATTATAAGTTATAACTGCGTTATAAGGTACCAAGGACATTTTTTATCATAAAAACACACGTGTGCGTTTATTTTTTTGAGCGTTTACATACTCCCTGCCGTGAAACGACCCCCCATCGGCACCTGACTTAGCTACCATATAATATATATGTACAATATACCTATACAAATTATTATTCAACTGCATCCGTTCGCGGTTGCTTTCATCGTTCCCTCAATTCCCCTCTTTCTTATACTCCCTTCGTTTATTATATTATCACTTTATAATTTTTTTATTCTCGATAAAATAAAATGATTTATAGAGCGGAAAAGTTTTTTGTTCATTAATAGTTAATAAAACAAAAAAAAAAAGGTAAATAGGGAAAGGTATGATAATATAAAGCTTATATATGGAGTATTTACGGCATCACTGCATAATTCATCTGTAAAATGTCAACAGAGTGATGGGTACCTTTCATTAAATGCTAATCTCAATTACCCGCTGACAAAGTGCTGAATCTTGGTCTGAAACCTGACATGGACATCGCAGTCGATTAGATAAGATTTATTGGCAGGCTTACGTTAAACCTATTGATTACTTTAATATAGATATTTTTATATAACAGACGGGTTTTATGGGATTACGGTCATTTAAAAGTGTTCAAAATTTTTTATTTTTATTTTAAAGGATTTTTTTAATTCGGTATTTTTTTTTTTTTTTATAACAATCGACATTTAAAGTAGAAAACTTAAAAATTTTTTAATCCTTGTAAATATTTTATTGTAGAATATTTTTAAAATGAATTAATTAATTAAAATGTGATTTGCGTTAAAAAAAGTAAATTGAAACTTACGGCGAATTTTTCAATCAATAATTAAAATTAAATTATCATCGTGAATATATCTATACACATAAAATGCTATTGCTCTCTTTTTTACTTTAAAGGGGTATTTTAGTCGAAAGTAATGAATGTAAAACACTTTTTAAAGCTCGATATAAAAATCAACTCAGAGTTCATCGTTCTTTATTTTACTATTAATTTATTAATGTTTTAAAAATAGATAAAAAAAAATTTTCGAACGAAAAAATTAAAAAGTTACAGACAAGTAAAGTGTATAGTATTTAAGAGAAGAAAGTCGTATTAATTATTAAAAATATTGTTACAGCCTTTACTTTAAAAAAAAAAACAATTTTTTTTTTACAAAATTGCGAATGTTAGATTTTTGCCTATTTTTTTAATTATTTTGATTTTTTTAAGATAGTAGAAATAAAAATTTTGAATTAATTTTGAAAAAAAAAATTTGTGATTTTTTCAAATATTTAAACAAAGTATTCCCTTAAAAAAAAATTTTTTTTACTATGAAAAAATAAATTTGTTTTGAAATAAACGGTTTTGAAATTAAATACTCCACCCTCCATAGAGATTATCGGCAATTTTTCAATGTTTATGTCACTCGCTCTATTGTCATCTAGGTCCACTATAGTGTGAAAAGCAATTTAATTTATAATATGCAAGAAAAAAAACTTCAATTTTCTTAGCGTTTTAAATTAATGATTTATTTTTATCAAGTACACTCTTACAACTTTCATAATAAACTACTAAGCTACTGTTAGAATAAAAAAAAGTATCATAATAAAATATTGATTCCTAAAAAAATAAATTGCAACTGAACATGATTAACAAGATTTATATTTATCAGTAAAAAAGTTCAAAAAAACTATTGCTTTACAAGCAACTTTCTGCTTAAAGTCAATAAGCTGCTCTTTGAACGTATGGAACCTCGACCGCAAAGTACTAATTGTACAATACCAATCGATTCTGTCGCACGAAGAATGGTCACGGTGCACGCAGTATCCGTTTTGAAAATAGAACCCGTTGGGACACTGATAGTCGGTATCAACAGGAAATGCCAATGCTAGGCAAGATCCATCGGCTTTCATGAAATTTTCTTTACAACGGCACTTGTTATCGATACAAGAAGTGTTGTTGATGTTCTTACAAGCTTTTTCGCTATAACAAGCATCACCGATTTCTGAAAAATGTCAAAATTGTAAAAAAAAGATCAAAAATTACAATACCCGCGAAAAATTTTCTAATAAATCCATTTAAAAAAATTTTTCACGGGCATTAATGAAAAACTAACAAAAAATAAGTATAAAATGATAAATTACTCGTAGCATTTTTATAGCAATGATTATTTTCATAGTAAAATTGGTCAGGACACTCGCACGTTTTGTTTTTACAAACTGAATTTTTGGCGAAGCAATCTCTTGATGTTTTACAAGGAGCTTGATTCAACGCAAGACATCTTTTACTTCTTTTTTTAAACTTAGGAAGACATTGACATTTTCCATCCTTGCATTCTGTATTTTCTATTTTTTTACATGCTTTTTGACTATGACACGTATCATCGATACCTAAAAAATTATAAGATTATAAGTATCTGTACAAGAATTGTACCATGAATTAGCTATTAAAAAAAATTAGTGTAAAATGTAGAGTACTTGTAGGTTTTTTGTAGCAATGATCATCTTTATAATAAAATGGATTCGGACAGTCGCACTTTTTATTCTTACAAGTGGCATTTTTGGAAAAACAGTCTTTTGAAGTTTCACAAGGAGCTTGTCTCAATCCAAGACAATTTCCATCCATTTCCTTGTAATTAGAAAGACATTGACATTTTCCATCCTTGAATTCGGTATTTTTTTTGTTACATGCTTTACTGCTATTAGACGCATTATCGGAAACTAAAAAATGTTAAGATTATAAGTATCCTTACAAAAATGATATAATTCACTAGTTAAATAAAAATTAACGTGAAATAGTTAGGTACTTTTATCATTTTCGTAACACTGATCATTTTCATAATAAAATCGATCCGGACAATCGCACTTTTTATTCTTACAAGCGGCATTTTTCGCGAAACAGTCTTTTGGAATTTCACAAGGAGCCTGTTCCAACCCAAGACAAATTCCATCTCTTTCCTTGTAATTAGGAAGACATTGACATTTTCCACTCTTGCATTCAGTATTTTTTTTTTCTTTACATGCTGTGTGACTATGACACTCATCGTCGACATCTAAAAAATTATAAGCTTATGAGTACCAGTAAAAGAATTGTAACATGAATTAGCTATACAAAAAAATTAGTGTAAAATGTAAAGTACTTGTAGCTTTTTTGTAGCAGTGATCATTTTCATAATAAAATCGATCCGGACAATCGCACTTTTTATTCTTACAAGTGGCATTTTTCGCGAAACAGTCTTTTGGAATTTCACAAGGAGCCTGTTCCAACCCAAGACAAATTCCATCTCTTTCCTTGTAATTAGGAAGACATTGACATTTTCCACTCTTGCATTCAGTATTTTTTTTTTCTTTACATGCTGTGTGACTATGGCACTCATCGTCGACATCTAAAAAATTATAAGCTTATGAGTACCAGTAAAAGAATTGTAACATGAATTAGCTATACAAAAAAATTAGTGTAAAATGTAAAGTACTTGTAGCTTTTTTGTAGCAGTGATCATTTTCATAATAAAATCGATCCGGACAATCGCACTTTTTATTCTTACAAGTGGCATTTTTCGCGAAACAGTCTTTTGGAATTTCACAAGGAGCCTGTTCCAACCCAAGACAAATTCCATCTCTTTCCTTGTAATTAGGAAGACATTGACATTTTCCACTCTTGCATTCAGTATTTTTTTTTTCTTTACATGCTGTGTGACTATGGCACTCATCGTCGACATCTAAAAAATTATAAGCTTATGAGTACCAGTAAAAGAATTGTAACATGAATTAGCTATACAAAAAAATTAGTGTAAAATGTAAAGTACTTGTAGCTTTTTTGTAGCAGTGATCATTTTCATAATAAAATCGATCCGGACAATCGCACTTTTTATTCTTACAAGTGGCATTTTTCGCGAAACAGTCTTTTGGAATTTCACAAGGAGCCTGTTCCAACCCAAGACAAATTCCATCTCTTTCCTTGTAATTAGGAAGACATTGACATTTTCCACTCTTGCATTCAGTATTTTTTTTTTCTTTACATGCTGTGTGACTATGGCACTCATCGTCGACATCTAAAAAATTATAAGCTTATGAGTACCAGTAAAAGAATTGTAACATGAATTAGCTATACAAAAAAATTAGTGTAAAATGTAAAGTACTTGTAGCTTTTTTGTAGCAGTGATCATTTTCATAATAAAATCGATCCGGACAATCGCACTTTTTATTCTTACAAGTGGCATTTTTCGCGAAACAGTCTTTTGGAATTTCACAAGGAGCCTGTTCCAACCCAAGACAAATTCCATCTCTTTCCTTGTAATTAGGAAGACATTGACATTTTCCACTCTTGCATTCAGTATTTTTTTTTTCTTTACATGCTGTGTGACTATGGCACTCATCGTCGACATCTAAAAAATTATAAGCTTATGAGTACCAGTAAAAGAATTGTAACATGAATTAGCTATACAAAAAAATTAGTGTAAAATGTAAAGTACTTGTAGCTTTTTTGTAGCAGTGATCATTTTCATAATAAAATCGATCCGGACAATCGCACTTTTTATTCTTACAAGTGGCATTTTTCGCGAAACAGTCTTTTGGAATTTCACAAGGAGCCTGTTCCAACCCAAGACAAATTCCATCTCTTTCCTTGTAATTAGGAAGACATTGACATTTTCCACTCTTGCATTCAGTATTTTTTTTTTCTTTACATGCTGTGTGACTATGGCACTCATCGTCGACATCTAAAAAATTATAAGCTTATGAGTACCAGTAAAAGAATTGTAACATGAATTAGCTATACAAAAAAATTAGTGTAAAATGTAAAGTACTTGTAGCTTTTTTGTAGCAGTGATCATTTTCATAATAAAATCGATCCGGACAATCGCACTTTTTATTCTTACAAGTGGCATTTTTCGCGAAACAGTCTTTTGGAATTTCACAAGGAGCCTGTTCCAACCCAAGACAAATTCCATCTCTTTCCTTGTAATTAGGAAGACATTGACATTTTCCACTCTTGCATTCAGTATTTTTTTTTTCTTTACATGCTGTGTGACTATGGCACTCATCGTCGACATCTAAAAAATTATAAGCTTATGAGTACCAGTAAAAGAATTGTAACATGAATTAGCTATACAAAAAAATTAGTGTAAAATGTAAAGTACTTGTAGCTTTTTTGTAGCAGTGATCATTTTCATAATAAAATCGATCCGGACAATCGCACTTTTTATTCTTACAAGTGGCATTTTTCGCGAAACAGTCTTTTGGAATTTCACAAGGAGCCTGTTCCAACCCAAGACAAATTCCATCTCTTTCCTTGTAATTAGGAAGACATTGACATTTTCCACTCTTGCATTCAGTATTTTTTTTTTCTTTACATGCTGTGTGACTATGGCACTCATCGTCGACATCTAAAAAATTATAAGCTTATGAGTACCAGTAAAAGAATTGTAACATGAATTAGCTATACAAAAAAATTAGTGTAAAATGTAAAGTACTTGTAGCTTTTTTGTAGCAGTGATCATTTTCATAATAAAATCGATCCGGACAATCGCACTTTTTATTCTTACAAGTGGCATTTTTCGCGAAACAGTCTTTTGGAATTTCACAAGGAGCCTGTTCCAACCCAAGACAAATTCCATCTCTTTCCTTGTAATTAGGAAGACATTGACATTTTCCACTCTTGCATTCAGTATTTTTTTTTTCTTTACATGCTGTGTGACTATGGCACTCATCGTCGACATCTAAAAAATTATAAGCTTATGAGTACCAGTAAAAGAATTGTAATATGAATTAGCTATACAAAAAAATTAGTGTAAAATGTAAAGTACTTGTAGCTTTTTTGTAGCAGTGATCATTTTCATAATAAAATCGATCCGGACAATCGCACTTTTTATTCTTACAAGTGGCATTTTTCGCGAAACAGTCTTTTGGAATTTCACAAGGAGCCTGTTCCAACCCAAGACAAATTCCATCTCTTTCCTTGTAATTAGAAAGACATTGACATTTTCCACCCTTGCATTCAGAATTGTTTATTTTTTGACAGTCTTCTTCACGTGTGCACGAATCGTTTAACGCTGAAAGAAAACAAGATTAATTAAAAAACAATTTTTTTAAATTAAGATTGACAACGAGAAGAACATCAACCTTTTTTCAGTTCATGACAATTTTTTTCAAGATGATAATAATCATTTCCGCAACTACATTTTTTCTCAATACAGTCAGCATTTTCTGCATAGCAGTCTTTAGGAACATCGCAAGGCTTACCAATAAGTGCTCGGCACTCATTATTCAGTTCTTCATAACCATCTTTACATAGACACATGTCTTTCTTGCATTCAGAATTGTTTATTTTTTGACAGTCTTCTTTACGTGTACATGAATCATTTAACGCTAAAAAAAAAAACACGATTAATTAAAAAACAATTTTTTTAAATTAAGATTGACAGCGAGAAGAACATCAACCTTTTTTCAGTTCATGACAATTTTTTTCAAGATAATAATAATCATTTCCGCAACTACATTTTTTCTCAATACAGTCAGCATTTTCTGCATAGCAATCCCCACGAACATCACAAGGCTTCTTAATAAGTGCTCGGCACTCATTATTCAGTTCTTCATAACCTTCTTTACATTGGCATGTCCCATTCTTGCATTCGCTGTACTTAATAGTCTGACATGTTTCTTCCAGCGAACACTTAGAGCCTAAAGCTACAACAAGTAAGTCACAATTGATTAGACTGCTCAGAAATTGAAAACTTGTTGCAAATTCAAAATCTACATACTTATTGTCCCTTTGACACAATCATCTCCCGAGGGAACAAAGCTATCTTTGCAATCACATGTTTTGTTCCTGCAAATCGCGTTGTTTGCAAAGCAATCATCAGAATCATCACATGATTGACCGTGTTTTCCAGTGCACCTTTTACCCTTCACCTCATAGTTTTCTTCACACTCACATGTATCGTTTCTACATACTCCGTATTTGAGGCCTGTGCATAATTTCTCACATATGCACGACGAACCGACACCTTGAAGAATCACATCGATTAAATTGAAGCAACAATTGTCGTACTATACTATAATTACCATCTTTTCGGGAGATACATTGTCCATTTGTATAATATTCTTCTTCACCGCAGTCGCAAAACGGTGTTTTACAAATCGAATTTGGTACAAAGCAGTCATCTCTAGTTGTACATGATCTTTTGTTTAAATCACACCGGGTGTGTATCTCAGCGATTGCTAAATATGGTAATAAGTTATTACTTTTCTTTTTTTTGTAAAAAAAAAATGATAATCCCAATAGAGTACACAAAAAAAAATTTTATTAAAAAAAAAAATTTTTGAATCGAGAAAATTATTTATTATACTGAACTCCAATATATATTTACTCATAAACTATTATTAGTCAAATATGGGCTAAAATATTTTGGACAGCCCGGACCGGGAATCGAACTCGGATTTTATGGTTACGCAAGAAGGGCTCTTCCCGTTGAGCTATTTGAGATATGATTCATGTAACTATTTATCAGTAGGGTAAAAGATCTCATTACTGGCGAGGACCTCATTACTGACACTTTCTTTAATTTTGGTACTTATTCAATTGATGAAATCATAAATTTCAATAATGAATATATAATTTCTAATCTTTAAGACCTTTAGATCAAAAAAATTTTTAATTTTTATAGGGGTTAAAGGTGCCACTAAGGGGAATGGGGTCTTTTATTACAAAAAAAAAAAAAAAAAAATAATAAAAACTATAATTCAGCAAACTGGACTTTTCTCTCAGTGTAATAACTTAATAAAAAATAAAATAAATCTCTCGACGTTACTTACGAAATTCACATAAGGTTTTATTTATAACTTTCCAATTTTTTTTACAATTGCATTGAGTACGTTCGCAAACACCATTTATCAATTTTTCGCAATCGGTATTTGCACTGCAATTTCCTGTATATACTGAGTACCATACTCCATTTATTTGAATGTGATTGCTCTCATAATGTTTTTGTTGTTTTATGTTTATGAATTCCAAATGTCTTTCTACGGTGCACCTTTTTTTAACATAATCATAATTAGTTCCTGTCGGGCATGTACAAAAATTCATTGAACTATCTTTGATGAAATTATGACAAACAAGATCTCGGTAATTTCCGACTTGACAGTTCCTATCGGTAAAGCACCATTCCCCATATATCGTATCTGTAAGATAAACAAACTTAATTTTCGGCATTTGAGCAAGTAATGAGAATCGTTTTTTATCTTAGTATCTGAAAAACTTATCTTACTCGATTTTTTTGAGGAATCTGTTTGAGGTATTTTATCGTCCATTCTGTTGTAACTATTTGTGTTAACATCAAATTGAAATAAACTTTCATATTTCGAGGCCAATATCTCGAAATAAAATATGTTCAAACAAACATTATCATATTCTAAGGCGGACTTTTTGCAAATACACGTTCCATCCTCCGCACATTTGGCGTTGCTTATAAACATGCAGTCTAAATTGTTCTCACAAGGTTCGCCTAAGTTTTCTGAAAATTTTTTAATTACATATTATAATTAAGTTTAATTAGATTGGAGATATAAGTAAATTATTACACGATACTACAAAAAATTTAAAAAATACTATTCATCCTTTTAACATCTTATCTTGTCAAGAAATCAGTTGTTAAGATATTTTACTAAGAGTATCGTTTTGATTTGAACGAAATAAGAGAAGAATTTTAAATAATTCTTTAAAGAAAATTATTTAAAGCATGCGATATTTATAATTAAGAAAAAAAAAATTGAAAATTAAATCTAACTTTCTTCTTTTTATGAAATTTTAGTTTTACTTGTTAAACGGGACAAAAATCATATTTAATTTTCGGAGAACAATTTTAACTTCGATGTTAGTAATTGTACTATATTTACTTTGTTTCACACATTTGTGGAGTGGTTTTTGTAGTTCAGGGTTCACATTAATGCATTGCATTTCATTACCACAGCACGGAAAGTGCAGATTAGGGTCACAGACCTACGAAATTTCAAAAATTATAATTATTATTGTTGTTATTAAAAAAATTAACAATTACTCCATTACTTACATCGTAATTTTCTTTACATTGATCTGTAAAATAAAATCACATTAAACTCAAACTTATTCTATCAAATATTAAATACATAATTTTTATCCACTAATTTGCAACACTTACCTAGCTCACAATAAGATTGATTAATTTTCTTATATCCAGATAGACACTGACAAGTCCCGCGTTCACAAATACTATTTTCCGCTCGGCACTCAGATCCTTCTGGACATTCTGCTCCAATACCGGCCAGACATTCGCCATTAAAAAAAAATTCATTATCGTTGTGACAATCAGTACAACCCGGATAATTTCTCTTGTACCTCTGTATCGTACAAGACAATGTGTTCCTGTTAAATTTACTTCTTTCTGGACACCCACACTTTCCAATTTTTTTATTCTAAAAAAATTGGAACAAATACTCTTTTAAATTACGAATCAAAGAACTGAAATCGCTTTTTTTTTCTTTAATTTAGTATTTTATGCATTACCATATTTTGAAAGACGCAAGTAAGTTCGTTGTTATCATTGAATTTGCAATCACGATCTTCTAAGCAGATTTTGCCAATCTTTATTGCTGTATAAAAAAATTTTAATAAAAAATTTTCAAAATACTTTTAATTATTTATATAATTAATTTTTAATTAATTATTTTTATAAGAAAATAAATAAATTATTATATTGATTTTTTTTAATTTTTAAATAAAATTATAACTTATTTTTAAATTTTCTATACTTGCCTGATCGGAGTCTTGAATTTTCATTTCTAGACCACAGAGAAATATTTTGATCATGATCAACCTTTTGTCCTTCAATTAATAGATGTTTAACAAATTCAGGATTCTCGGGTTGATTTACATCCGTCGAAGCTGACGATATCGTACAACAAAGTGTAATTTTAAAAAATACGAAAAATATCACTTTATACTTCATTATAAAATTTTGAGTTTTCAATACTTAAAAAAATTAAAAAATTTCTTTTAAAGTAATTAAGATTGCAAGCATAGTAACACTTGTATAAGAACTATCTTTTAGAATTAATTCAGCCCATTATATACGGTATTATCGATATTTTAACTTCCTTGTTTTCTATCAAGAATCAAAACTATTGAATTATTCCAATATCAGTATTTATAAAAATAATGCGATAATTTTGGACTTATCACAGTTAATTAAAATGATTTTAAATGTATATAACATATAGGATGTATAATATATCATCACAACGCTCTGATGATACGATAAAGATGCTAAAAGTAATAACCTTGATAGATTGGATTACTCAGCGTCAGCGATTTGTGTAGAAATCCGTAACAATGGCGGTTAATTGAATAAATATTTAAAATAAATATTTTGATCGATGAAATACGTGTGATAATATAAACTATGACTCGAGTAATTGCTTGTTTATAGAAAATTCAAGAGTTGAAACCGATAATTTTGAACGATATTTAACTTAAATACACTATGAAATATTTTTTTTTATTCATACACTTGCGATTCCATAAAAAAATTTAACGATTACTTATATTAAAATATAAAAAAAATTTTTTTTAAATAAATTAACAATATTTAATATATATAAATACATTAAAAATATATATCAATTAAAATATGTTAAAAATATTTTATTTTAGTTATGATCAAAAATATTTGTTTTTATCGCAAAAAAATTTTTTTAACAATAATTTTTTTTTCTCAGCGTATATCAATGTTAACAATTATGCTCAATCTTATGTTTAGATATTTTAGAATTTTAATTAAAAATGGATCTGTCCAAGTGCCTGAGCGATGAGAAGAACCTCCGAGAAGTGATAAAAACATTAAAGTCGCTGAAAATTTTCACAAAAATATAATCTAGTCTTAATTTCTAAATTGCAGTCCAAATATTTAGCTATTATATTGTTTCACCAGCTATTATGGTTCAAAATTTTCATGCATGTATAATTGTTTAAATATTTACTTTATTATTTATTTGTATGGGTTCTTGAAATATTATTTATAATTATTTAACATTGTTTATAATCTTGAAGTCGCTCATGACCATGCTGTTTATGCGACTATTAAATAAACAAAAAAAAAAAAAAAAAATAAAAAATTACAAGTTGAAAATTTTCATCAATCTAAAAGCTATTTTTTTCCCAAGAATTTTTAATTAAATTTCAATTTTATCTAAAGCAAATTATTTTAAGTTTCATAAAATTAAAATAAAAAAATTATAAAAGTCACTTTGAATAGATTGCAATAATTAAAACCAAAGTTTAAAAATTTATTTTTTTTTTATTATCAGCGCCCCTATTTTTATTCAAACAGGAGCTCAGCAGTATAAAATACGTACACTGAGAAAAAATTTTATTTAATAGTAATAAAAAAGTTTATTTGGACTTGAAAAGAAAACTTAGTTAATAGTAATAAAATTATATTCCATATGAATAAAATTTTATTAGTATTTAATAAAATTTTCTTAAATACTAATATGTGTTTTTAATACGAATATTAAGTCATTAAAACAAATAATTTCAAGAAAAAAATTAATATTCATCAATTAATTATAATATATTCAAATATATTTTCACAGTAAAATCTTTTAATAAATAAATAGTATAAAGATGTTTCAACGAGACATCCTAACCTAACCTACTTGTTTATTTCCCCTTCCTCTTTATTAGCCAAATAAACGTTTTATTAAATAGTAATAAAATTTTATTACTATTAAATAAAATTTTCTCACAGTGTATAGAAACAATTTACAAAGATCCTCAGTAACGGATTTTAATTAGCGACATATCACATTGCAAGTCAGATCCCCCGGTGAGTGTTGAGGACTGTGCAGAAAGTGAGTAACGACAAGAAGAGCAGAACAACAACAACAACATCGAAATCGAGAGACGCGTCTAGTTTATTGATTGTATATTTTACATTTAATTCGCTCGCCGATGGATTTTCTCACAACTATAGAGTATAGTTTAGCAGAGAGTATAGAGTATTGGTAGGAGACTGCTGTGTCTCCTTTTATTCTGGATCACCGATATCGTCCTTAGCAAAACATTGGATGTATATGGAGCAAGAAAGAGACGCTCGAAGTGAAGGAGAACTTAAGGAGAGGGCGAGCGAAGTTGGGCTTAGCAATAGCTGTCAAAGCTTTCCTCGATTTTTAAATCCCCTTGTAAAGTAAAATGAGACAAGTTACGTACACAATGTTTGGCTCGGTCGCGAGACTTGTCGGCGGAGTCATTCTGTATCTATGTATTCGAATATAGCCTGTGCGAGCACAGGAGCTGGGGGTTAGGGGTAGAGACAAAGAGGAGAGAAGAAAGAAGAGAACACTCTGTATCTGTCCTCATGGGGGGTCGTCAGCTCAACGCGGCCCATGACGAAGCAGGGGGTTGATGTTTTCTCCTCGTCACGTGCCACCTTTGCATTCTTTATAATAGATCATTTATAAAAATTTATCCGGCGCCCGTTTAGCTGTACACTTGAATTTATCCGATGTTGTCGACTGAGACAACCGTATTTACATTCATTTTATTATTTTTTACTGTCAATCCAAATTTAGATTTAGATTGTGCAATTGCGTTATACGAGGGAGCTAAAAGGCTTACCGTGGAGATTTTTATTAATGTTCCGTGGAAATTTAACTATTTTGTAGATTAATTTGTCCGGGGATATCAGTTTGATGATTCGGGAGGGGGTGTAACGAATTTTTTTAATTTTTTATTTTGATACGGCCACCTGTAAAAGTTATTCCAGTCTTGGTATTCAAAAACAGTGTGATGAAATTTTCGTTGAAAATTTATTGTAATTTTTTTTATAAATTGCTCATAACATGTACACTGAAAAAAAAATTAATTTGATTCGAGAAAAAAATTCTTGAACCAAAAAAGTAATTTTGAAGAGCGTAATTGTCTTGAATCAAGTAAAATTTACTTAAACCAAGAAAAATTTCTTAGTTTAAGAATTTTTTTACTCAAATCAAGAAGATTAAGTTCTTCAAAATTATATACTTGGTTCAAGAAAATTTTTTTTCTTTGTAAAGATAATGCAGTATTTAGTTTTTTTGTTTAATAATAATTGAGACAAATTTCAAGTGGAAAATCCTAACATAAAATTGAGATGAAATATATGTGAAGCCAATTTACTCGTAATGTGACTGGTCAAATATATCATAAGCATGAAAATATATGCAAATTCTATGTTCAGGCGCGTGTTTGCGCGCACATATTAAATTTTAGTTTGTAATAAAAATTAATAAATAAATTTTTTTTTATTCAGAATTCGTCTTAAATCTATAAGAATAATTTTTAACAATTTTTAGATCTCAGTAAGATTTTAATGGAAAACTTTAACTGAATTTGTTTTCAGAAGATTGAAGTATCAGCAAGTAATAATGCCTATATAAGAGAGATTCGTGATAAAAAAAAAAAAAATATTTAATTTAATCAATAAGTTTGCGTATTAAGCATTACTTAAGTATATTTTCTTTAAAATTTAAACAAAAAATTGTTGTTTTTTCCGAAAAAACACCAATTGATTTTCTGGGGCAAAAATTTTACTTGAAGAAAAAATATTTTATTTTTCAGTACAGGTCTTACTACTTACTAATCTCGAGAATTTAATTTTTCACCAACAAACCATAATTCAAATACACATTTTAATTTGTCTTTTATCCAAAGGGTTTTCTAAATTTATACACATACGATCCTTTAATAATTTATTAATCAATTATTTCATTCACAAAAATAAAAAATTCTTCATTAGAGAAAAAATGTTTTTTACCCAAGGAAATATTTATAAAAACGAAAATTTTCTTGACTGAAGTAAAGTTTTATTGTACCAAAAAAAATTTCTCTGAAATTTTTCTTGGTAAAAATTAAACTTCTTTTCTAAAATTTTCTTTTATCACTTACGCTTAGCTCTTGAGGTCCTAAAAAAAAAAGAATCATAAAACCCAGTAAAAATTAAAAGCAATTTAAATTCAAGATAAATAATAAACAATAATAAAAACCACCGAATCACCTGTATAAATAAAAATGAAAACATAATAGCAAGAGCAGGATTAAATTTCTGAACGTGATAAATAAGCCAGATATGTCCGCGATGTTTTACATAAGTAAATAATAATAATAATAAATAAATAAATATGTATTTATAAATACATAATGTTGGACAGTATCTTAATGCACATATATATACCAATACAACACTGGTATCGTTTAAAGTTATTTAATAATTTATATTATGCGGATGGACATAAATCGATGGAGCGGTAAAGAAGCCATGATATATGGGCTAATTTGACGTATCGCGAGGCCACCGATCGCTGAGCACCGACCATGTATGGCCGAATGACCGACGCGACTGTAAATTACTGGGACTGGGTAACGTAAAAACTTCTTAGTTTTAACTTTAGCTTTTGCTTGGTAGGGCATCACTTGCATCCACCACTCATGCATTTATTTTTATTTTGTTCCACTGATTCTTCCAGCGGATCCCTTTCTTTCTATCATTCGATCATCTCGCCTCTCTTCTCTTCTTTTATAACTTATAATAAAATATAAATTTACATTTAATTCCACACATGCGTCGATGCTTTGATTTGTGCTGCCTGTGGATAATCAGCCAATAGACATGATCATGATCTGTGCATCACTTGTCCCATCAATACAAGAGTAAGCTCTATATGTGGCCTCGAACTCGCACGTTAACTCCTTCTTTTACTGATCGACACATCCTTCTCGATCCTTGCCCCGGACAATAAAACTCCCACATCATCAAGGACACTAGTGTGCAGTATTATATGTAGAGTGGTGTTATGTACTGCAGTGCATCAAGGCAACGCTATTGAAGGAGTATAGGAACACTAAAGAGCCGATTGCTGATGAAGTATGCAAAAAATCCAGATTAACCAATCCTTTTCCGCCTCATTATTTTTTATCCAGGCTCAAGTATTCTCCAG